CCTTTCTCCTAAATATTCTAAATAAATGCATTTTAAGCCCTTTTTAATGCTGACATAGATGTAGGCTGTCTGGGTGACCAAGAGAGCCATGCAGAGATTTAGTAGGTCACTTATAGTGCAGTCAAAAATTCTGTGAACAATTCCATTTTCTGCGTGACGGAGATTTATAGTAATTTATTTACATTTTTTAAGAAAAGTTTTTTTTATTTCACCTCAATTGTTGTGGGAAAAGATGATTAAGTTAAGACAAATTGATACAAACTGCTGTACAAAGTATGGATGATATCTATTCTCCCATTAAAGAGATATTTGAGGATAAGTTGCACCACGAATTTTTGACCGCACTATATTTGTGGATTTTATCAATATGGATTGCAGGCATGGACTGGCGCCAGCATAGACAAATAATGCAAATTTTTTTCTTATTACGATTTTTTTTTTTCATTTTGAAATCGTCAACAAATATGCTATTTGCTAACATTTCTAGTGTTTTGTTTTACTGTTTTTTGCTAAGCTTTATAATAATAATAATATTTCATTGATGCTTCTAATGCTTAACAAAGATACATGCAGAGCTGAATATTTTCGGCCTTTAACATTTGGATTGACAAAGGCTGTAGCCTCATTCAAAACAGCAGCAACAGAAGCTTTTTTCCTCCCCAGCAAATGTTTAAAAACCGCAAACTGACTGCCGACTTATCTTGGCAGATTAAACCAAACAGCAACATTGCTAACCTTAAATTCGAACAGAAACCAGTTTTGCAGCGATTTGATCATGATCAAGAGAGCCGTGTTCTTTTTTTTCTGTTCAGTCAATGAGACAGACCCATTGGCTGGCAGAGCAGTTTTTTAGTTTTCTTGTACGGGCGGGTACACACGACTTCAGACAGCGTAATGAGCGTGGTGTAAAGCGCATAAAGCTTTCTGTCGAGTGAGGATATGCACTGTACAAATGCTATTTATTATTATCATTATCATTTTTTATTATTATTGAACAACTGCCACTTTGTGATAGAAAGAAAGTCTAGTGGTCAGAAGGTCAAGGTCAAACTGAAGAAGTGTCCCTCTTTGTGTCCGTGCCACTCAGTACAGATATTGTTACCTCGCATGCTCTTTCATCATATCACACACACACCCAGTTATTACTGTAACCACTTTTTCGTTCTTCACACGACGCGCTACCTTTGTACTGTAAACAATGTACAAACAAACCAGCTCTAATGGCCACCTGCTTAATTAAGACAATCACCTGTACAAATCGCCATTTTTTTTCCATTTTCCCCTGTGTGTTCTTTTTTTTTCTTTCTTTAAATATTATAATGACACTGGGTATCTAAGATGGCCACTTTTCTCCTGCGATAATGGCTGGCCGTCTTAGACAATATTGACTGTATTTCGATATCACGCAAAAGTTCTTTCCATATACTGCATAAACCCTATGCGTATTGAGCACACTTCCTATCATAACATTACATCCTGCCTTTACTGTACACCAATTATATACTCAATCATTTGTCAAAGGAATAATTAAGTATGATATAGTGTAAAGCGCTTACAGCTTTGCTGGCGAGCAGAGATATGCGCTTTACAAATGCTATTTTATTAATTATTATTATATTATTATTACTATTATTATTATTATTATTTAAAGCATCATTTCTATGCTGGTGCCCAAATTTATGGCTCAATAATGTCTGCCAACTCAGATGAATTTGTCCATTGTGCTGAAAATTCTATTGCTTCGTTGAAAAACTGAATGAACAAAAGCCAGAAGTCATTCTGCAAAGGCAGTGCAAAGTTCATAAACGAAGTCGCCATCGATGCCGTCTTGACAATTTGGTGATGAGAAAATATTGCATTTTCCAGAAAAGTTAAAAGTCTTGGCGTCTATTTTGATTCCAGTTTTGTCAGTGTCCGCTGAGATAAATCATCTAACAATCAACTCATGCATGTATTCAGAAATTTAAAAAATGAGTAAAATGTTTCATCTAATCAATACTTAGTATATTTTACGAACATTGCCCTGGTTTCCCGGTGAGATAAAGAATTACGCATAATCTGGCCTCTTTATATCACAAGTGCTCGAGTAATATTGTGCCATCACATTTTAGAAGTCTTTTAAAATTTTAAGTTCCAACTGGCAGTCTAAGGTCATCAGCTGGCAAAAAAAAATTACTTTTACCATCTTCGAAACTTAAAGCAAAGGGTATGTATGTATAGTAT